TATCTGTACGTCTGTATTTCTGTATGTCTGTATGTCTCTATGTGTGTATGACTGTATATCTGTATGTCTTCACGACTGTAAGTGTGTATCTCTCTATAACTCCATGTCTGTATGTGTGTATTTATGTATGTCTGCATGTCTGTATGTCTATATGTCTGTATCTCTGTGTGCCCGCATGTTTTATGTCTGCATGTCTGTATGTCTGCAAGTCTGTATGTCTCTATCTCTGTACATCTGGATGTGTGTACGTCTGAATGCCTTTTTGTCTCTATGTCTCTATGTCTGTATGTCTGTATATCTGTATGCCCATGTGTCTCTATTTCTGCTTGTCTGTTTGTCTGCATGTCTGTAACTCTGTATATGTGTATGTCTGTATTTGTGTGTGTATGTATGTCTGTATTTCTGTATGTTTGCATGTCTGCATATCTGTTTATCTGTATGTCTGTTTGTCTGCATTCAGTATATCTGTATGTGTGTATGTGCATATGTCTGTATGTCTGTATGTCTGTATGTCTGTAAGTCTGTATGTCTGTATGTGCGTATGTCTGTATATCTTTACGTCTGCATGTCTGTATGTCTGTATGCCTTTAGGTTTGTATGTCTGTATGTCTGTATGTCAGTATTTCTGTATGCCCGCATGTCTGTATATCTGTAAGTCCGTATGTCTGGGTGTCTGTATGTGTGTATGTCTGCATGTCCGTATGTCTGCATGTCTGTATGTCTGTGTGTCAGTATGTGTGTATTTCTGTATATCTGTATGCCTCTATGTCTATATGTCTCTAAGTCTGTATGTGTGGATTCCAGAATTGCCAAGTGACCGCTCGGTCAAAGATCGGTACTTTCATGACGTCCAACAATGGCAATGGCTCTCAACCAAAGTTGGTCTCAACAGTATACCGGCCAACAGCGTCAGTAGACTGCCAAGGCCAGCGCACCTGAAGACCATACCCAATCCCAGACTACTCGCCGTCCAGTTCGACTCATATGCCTCCCTCACAGACGTTCTACAGGCATGGTATAATGCGAAGGATCGCATGGGTGGCTCAATACGTATATGTGAAAGTAAGCCTAGACCCACAAGGCAAGAGGAGAGACGACAACCACCAAGACCTCTGGAGTCAGTGGTCGTCACACAGGCGCTGACCAGTGAGTTAGATACATCAAGTAAAGAAGCTACCACTGCCACAGCCCCCACCCAAGTTAATAACAAAACACCAAAAAACGGAACAATGCCAGTCCTATGAGGACTGGCGAGGGTAGACCCAACCACATAAGCTGTCATCCTGCGAAAATACACAACCAGACCTCCCCCTCACCAGGCACACTCTAATATGTATGTACAGCAACGTTAGGGGGCTAAGAGGGAAGGTAGCAGAAATGAGGACGCTGCGTGCACATCAGCACTCCGACATCATATTCATCACCGAATCCTGGCTCTCGCCAGACATCTCCGACGAAGAGATGCATGTTACTGGCATGGAACTCTTCCGCAGGGACAGGGAACATAGAGCAGGAGGAGGAGTGGCTATCTACGTAAACTCTTGTTTAAAGGCAAGGATGGTTAGCGATACGGCCTTAACCCAGCTCCCAGAGTCCCTATGGTGCTACTTCACTCTCCACAGTACCAAATATTTGCTCGGAGTCATATATCGGTCCCCCACCTGCTCCCCTACACATAAGGAAATGATCATCAAGGCTATCTTAACGACTTCCTCTGCAAATTACGATTCCGTAGTCATTGCCGGCGACTTCAACACCCCGTCCATCCTCTTCGAGACGGAAGGGAGACGCATCAGATCCTTCAATCAGAAGCTGAAGGATGCAATTAAGACTGCTGGCCTCTCAGAGAAAGTGGGTGATGCTACACGCTGGGGACCTAACGGAAACGCATCGCGCCTTGACTACGTTCTGACGAACGATGAACTTCTCATTGAGGATGTTTGCATCCAACCTCCCCTTGGCCTCAGTGACCACGCTGTAATCACCTTCTCCATGATAACTAGGGAGGCTCTGCAACTGGAGACGCCCAACACCTTCCCTTGCTACAGCAAGGCCAACTATGAGACCATGAGGGACTACCTCATGAATGCATCATGGCCAGTGGACTGGACTCATCTCACAATAGATGAACACTGGTTGGAGGTGAAGAAAATAATCACTGGGGCCATCAGTCACAGTGTACCAGAAGTAACACACAGACAATCAATGAGAACCTCATGGTTAAAGCGTGGGACAGAGAGGCTTATCCGGAGCAAGAAGCAGGCTTGGTTCAAGTGGCTTACATCACGCAGGGAGTCTGACTTCTTGAACTACAAAAGGATTCGCAATCTCTGTAACATTAGAGTGCGTAACGACAGATTTTCCTACCAAACAAACTTGGCAGCGAGGTTACAAAGCAACCCCAAAAACCTGTACCGCTTCATGTCAAGAAGAAAGTCGACCAGTAAGGGAGTGAATCTTGTCACAGGCCATGACGGGAGTGTGCTAAGCAGTCTAGAGATTGCCGAGCTTTTGAGCTCACACTTCCAAGCCCAACTCAGCACTGACACAAGATCCACACCGACTCGCCACGACACCGACCAGGTCGCAAATAACGAATACCTCTGTCACGTCTCTATTACAGAGAAAAAGGTGTTCGAGAAGCTATCTAGGCTACGTCCGGGCAAGTCCCCTGGCTGCGATAATCTGAAACCAGTGGTTCTGAAAAACTGCGCCGAGGTGCTTACCAAACCACTTCGCAACCTCTTTGAGCACTCAATAGACTCGTGCAAACTCCCTAAAGAATGGAAGAGTGCCATCTTGTCACCCATCTTCAAGGGAGGAGACAGAAAAAACCCTGGCAGCTACAGGCCGATTGCCCTACTCCCTATTGTGTCGAAAGTGTTGGAAAGCCTGGTAGCTGACACCATCTGGGAATTCCTCAATAGAGAAAACACTGTCCACACTGCTCAGCACGGCTTTCGTAGTGGTCGCTCATGTGCCACCAACTTACTAACTGCCTGGGACGACTGGACACAAAGCTGGGATAATAGAAAACCTGTACATGCTGTATTTCTCGACCTAGCCAAAGCATTTGACAGTGTCCCACCCACAGTACTGCTTCACAAGATCATGTCAGCTGGTATAAGTGGACCCCTACTCTCTTGGTTCAAGGAGTACCTGGAAGGGAGGCAGTTCTGCACTAAAGTGAACAGAATAAGGTCGGAGTGGAGACCGTCGACGTCAGGAGTATCCCAAGGAGCAATCCTAGGACCGCTTCTGTTCCTCCTCTTTGTCAACGATCTGCCAGACAAAATATCCTCACCCATCCTCCTCTTCGCTGACGACATAAAAATTTGGAGGGTGGTAAACGAAGAAGCCGACTGTGCAGCACTACAAAAGGACTTGCAGCAACTCGAGCTCTGGTCGTCGGAAAATGGTCTGAGCTTCAACTGGAAAAGTGCAAAGTAATGCACATCAGTAAAAATGAGGCAAGTACGACCGACTTCCAGTACATGTTGAGCAACCGTGCTATCACCAGAGTGTCCATGGAGAAAGATTTGGGGCTCAACTTCTCCGACACCTTGGACACCAGCTCCAACTACAAAGGTATGACAACCAGAGCGAACGCCATTCTACACTTTCTGCGTAGACAGCTTGGCGCCCTCACTCCCGAACTCTTCCTCACCATTTTCAAATCCTACGTGCGGCCGCACCTAGAGGTCTTCAATACGGTGGCTCCTCCAACACTCAAGAGAGACTCTAATCTCCTTGAAAGAATACAAAGAACTGCAACAAAATCAGTTGTGGGGCTAAGGGGAAAGACGTATCTTGAAAGACTTAAACACCTCAACCTATTTACCTTGGGTTATCGCAGGAAAAGGGGTGACCTCATTATGGCATACAAGATCGCCCATCAGGCAGACCATGCAAACAAATCAATTTTGCCTGCAACTGAACGATCTTCACGAGGAAACCCCTTTAAGATAGCACACCAGAGAGCCAACACCACACTCAGGTCCAAATTTTTCTCCCTGAGAGTATGTGCTTTATGGAATGCCTTACCGCGACACATCGTTATAGCTCCTTCAATCGACTCTTTCAAGAGGCGATTAGACAGTTATGTCACCTCGCATGGACTACCACGGACGTACTCAGGTAGTCACCAACCTCAGTACCCCCAACTCCCTCCTAACTACCACTCACTATCTCTCTCCTTAATACACCCACATTACCTACTAATTCTTCTGTAGGAACCAAACCCACGCGACCATTCGGGCAATTCCCAAATACTTTTCTTTCGTTCTCATTTCTCTCTTCACCCCTTCTTTTATTCTCCTTCCCTTTCCTCTTCCCTACATTATTATTACTATTATTTTTATTTTTAATTTTTTTATTTTTATTTTTATTTTTATTTTTTTTTATTATTTTATTTATTTATTTATTTTTTACTCTTCCTTATTTCTCTCTTCATTCCTTTACCACTACCTTAATATTCTCTTTCAGGTACCTACACAGACAGGAGTCACGGTTGTTCTCTAAACTTCCCAGCAGCCCGTAGCTCCCTAATCACTCTACAAATTACAACCTACTAACCCACAAAACATCCACCTCACCGAAGCTAAAAGCAAGAAAGCAGAGGGGATTTCCTCGTCCACTGCAGGAGTGAACCGAACAACTGGAACCAAGCCCTAAGAACTAGACGCGAGAGATCAAAAACTACTAGTTTTCTACGCTCGCACTATCAATATTGGATATTGGTCTCAGATGGTTTTATTTCCCAGGTCAAGGTCACTCCGTATTTCATCTGATGTCCTGTAAGCGTGTTATGCTATACGGAGGCCGTGATTGTTTAGGCTCTGCCTGTGTGAAAAGCTTTAAGAGTAAAGGATACGTAGGTATTCAAAGTTATTAGATGAACTGGTGTATAGTGGGTTTGCTCTGTTGACTTCAAGGAGAATCATGATGCTGATGCAAGCATTGTTGTATGTGATTCTACAAGTTCTTCTGCACAAGAGAAGATGGTGAAGAGTGGTCTAGACAGTATCCTCAGTAATCAAAAGTTGGATGGGATTTTCTGTGTTGCTGGTGGATGGGTTGGAGGAAGCCTTACACATCCGGGTATGTCAAGGTTACGGACATTCGGATACTTCGCTTCCAGACTTTTTGGAAAACTGTGATGTTATGTGGAAGAAATGCGTATGGTCATCATCCATTGCTGCATCGTTAGCTTCAGCCTACCTTTCAACTAGTGGTCTACTAGTGCTTACTGGAGCAGATGCAGCTCTAAGAGGCACTCCAAGTAATTCAGAAATATAATGTTGCTTTTGCTTTATCTTGTTTATGTCTTGTCGTTTGCTCACGAAAAGACTGTTGTCGAAAGCTTTCATGCAGAACTCCTACTTATGAATAGACGGGAATAGAAGACTTGGTGTTTGTGGTTTTGGTGGATTTTGATTGTACGACTAAAGATAAAAGCTACCCACTTCCTAAGTGGGATTACTGCTGCAAGTCTAGGTTTAATACGGGTACGAAATAAGTTACACTTGTCAAATTATTGGCTTCTTGTACCAGCTTCAATTTATTAGTTCTGTTAAGGCTTTTATCTAACCTGTATGGAATCTTGAATTCCCTCGATAAGGATGAAGACGGTAGTTTAGTTCAACATTTTTTTTGACAATCTTTCAGTGGTACACTGTTGGTTATATTGTAAAAAGTAATTTCGAGAGTCATGACATAACGTTTCTGCTTTCAGGTAGCACAAGGAGTTAGTTCGGAAATCGGATGAAAAGATTGTTCACTTGAAGCAGAAGTTTCAGGTCAACAATCTGTATTAACTCTTCTGTTCGGCAGTGTGGATTATTTTACTAGTGACTCACGAGACTTAGTGTTGAATCCCACTGAATATATTTATGTTCTTTGAGGTTTATGCATATGGAACGGTGTAACAAACCAGTTTTTTTAATTTTACGTAATATATAACGATCAATTATGTATCCACTCACATCTTTTCTTCTCATGGGTTTCTCGTTACTCATAGTTTAAAATACAGTAACTTTCATATCATGCCCTGCTTAATTTAATTGTAGAAAAATTCTTCCAATGTTACTGTAACCCTTCTCGAATTTTTAAAATTATTTCTGATGGTCAGACTGAGACAGGTACTTGTGACGCCAGTATATACATCAGTCTGAATCATGTAAACCTTTATCAGACAGATTCACGCGTTCAAGACTGAGTTATTCTCAACTTGGCAAAATTAAAATATCAAATTTGAATCGCTTCCATCATCGTGTTAAGCGTCCATCCAAATAAAACTCGTAGCATGTCATGCCTTTAACCTAAGATATCTTTTGACTATTATGCCGGCCCATGTAACTGCAATTCAATTTCATTATAACATATAATACTTAGTAATTTTTATTGTTGTGACTTTATTTCTCCATAATGCTGTTGCTGGAGTATAAACCAGTAGTTTTTTTTTTACTTTGTAGGTATGTTGGGATATGGGATGGCTAAAGCTGCTGTACATCAGCTGACTAGAAGTCTAACGGACCAGAAGAGTGGACTTCCAGATAATGCTTGTGCACTGGCTATCTCTCCGTAAGTTGTTCCTTCCCATCCACCTATGATCAAGGATATTACTTCAAGTAACAAGTATTTAAACCATATGGAGGCATTACTATATGTGGAATTAATTTTCCGGCATTTGGAAGCACATTCTCCATGAAACTGTGACAAAAGGGTTCTAGTTTTTCCCTGTTACTTGTTCATTGGCAAACTGTTCCGGACACGTCGTTTTCGGCCGTCTTCAGAAGCAGAATAGCTTAAGCATGTCTTTATAAGTCTTTCTTATTTATTCTTGCATCTCAAGAACTTTGCCAACCTTATCTGAGGTGTCGGAGATACCCACTCGCTAATCAAGGCTTGTGTGTATTGCGCCAGCAGTTCACTTTTCCCTACTATATACCTATAAAATATGGTCATTGAAGGTGTGTGTCATGGAACTACCATGTTACAAACGTGGAGGTGAGGCGTAGTTTCAGGCGAAAGTGGTGAGTCAGTTGATTAGGCTATTTCCTCCTTCGTCCTTGACTCAGGTGGATGCGACGTATTACGCATACCTGGTTACCTTCTCCTTCTTTACGCAAGACTAACCGAAGTGAGATTAGGTTGGAAGATGGATGAAGGTGACGAGAATAATACTTGACGTCTTTGAATGTTGGTCTGAACTTTACAGGGAAGTGTTGACTTTCAGGTTATGGTGCACGTGACAACCGAATTCGGAGTCTGGAGACTATGCATTAGAGCTCAGTGATATATTCATCAATATATTATCTTCATTCTTACTATCGTGTTGCGTTTTGTTACTGTTTCACCTCTTCCTCTATTCTTATAACACTTTGCTTGTTGAGATTACATGTGTTTGTCGCTTTCATCTTACCACCTAACATTTTGATGTAGTGATGTGAAGTGTAGTAACTTTGAGTGTTACATGTTATTGCTTGGTGTCACGTCTATATTAACTTACTGACTATTCTCGTATCTAGATAGGGCTTTAACGTTGAAGACCTCTTGTTGTAGCTAATGGTAGTTCTTCACATACCAGCCTGGTCGACCAGTAAATTTGTTCGTCTTTTGTGAAAGGTCAGTCAGGTGCACAGTGCGCTTGTGCATGCACTTTTGCTCAATGCATATGCTAGTCGACCAGGTACTGTCTATCTTGAGTTTGTCTGCAGCATTGTATGTTTTCTGTACCAATGCCGTGAGTTATCTTGGAGTTTCACTGTGTGACCGTCTTTGCACTGACTTGCTTGGCTTTTATACGTCTTACTTATTCCATGTCGGCGGTTTCTATACTCAGCGTTGGTTATCAACGCTTGCAGTTGTGGTGATTCCGTCAGTGTTGTGTGTAGTATCGGCGAATTATGCTAAATATTTAAATGGGCATTACGTGATGGGTTGTGACATTCAAGACTTGGAGATGTATTTTCCTAGTTGCAGGCTTACTTATGATCGTGGTTTTGGTAAACCCAGAATAACGATAGATATAGTTGAATTTTCTCCCGGATGTGCAGTGTGATTTCATTAATCCCCACGACTGTTGTCTAAAATTTTGCTGACGCCTACCTGACAATGTGGTCATAGTCAGACATAAAATCAAGGTCGAACATCGCACACGAGTGCATCACTTCAAGTTGCCACACTTCACAGTAGTATACAAGGAATAATGAGATAGAAAAGGACTGATATTAAAGTAGAGGAAGGTGTATGAGAGGAAAATGAACTTGAAAATGAAGGTTAGTGGAAATATTCCAGTTTCAGAAGGGTCAAAAGAGTGGAATACACCTGGACCATCGTGACCGACTTTCAGCCATGTCACCAATAGTCTCCAACCACTGATTGCTTTCGTCTGGGTGACCCCAACCCGGTAGTCCTCATCTCCCTATACTGCTCATATCAGCAGTCAGGAATCTCATCGATTGACGCCATATCTTCGTCTGGCCACCCTGTGCCCTCTTTCAACCTAATCCAACTTCCCCTAGCATGGTATTTCGAGGTGGGTGGTAGCTCGGCATGCGCAGTACATGTCCGAGCCATCTCAGCCGACTAAGGTTCACAACTTTATCAATCGACTTTCCTGTCTTGTCTATTACATTTCGCCTAACCTCAGCATTGCTCATAGTGTTTTTATCAATACGCTTTTAGGTGTTCATGTTTTGTATGAAAAATAATTTGTGAAGTCTGGCGTACCTGAAGGTGAGGCAAGTTATCATGGTTTTGCATATACTAGTGGGGGAAAGTGTGTTAAGAAATGAAAATGAGGTAATGTAGTACAGACTAATAAATAGGTCTGCTACTGTATTGAGCGCAGTTTTGGATTGATCATTCATGTATCGACTGATGTCTCCACTATATCGATGAGCCTGATTCGATGACTCATTTTATGCATAGAACTGAAAGCAACAGCTGTTCATTGTTGGCCATTTCTTCCTATTTCACACGTGGTTGCAGTAGGTTTTATTGGACCTGTATGGAATGCTGTGTGTATCAAATTTCTTGATGACGACCTCATATCTGTGTGTACCCATTGTTCAGTGTCCTGTCGTTAACCACTATATCTTATCCAAGGAATTTGTTACTTGAGCCTAAGTAACCGGTTATTATCAATAGCCCTAAGGTATGACTCGAATCCTTCAGTTTGCTTACTAGGTGTGTACCAGATTGTTGAGTTGCAGTATTTGAACACTAACAATCTCTTCATCCTTGTAATATATCTATCTAAATTTCACTCATGCAGGGTAATACCTGTAAGTGTTTCATCGCACAAGAATTCAACAGCGACAAATGGTGCTGTGTCACTAGCATCCCCTTGTATCTCGATGGTATCCTGAATGTCCATCACACTCGCATATTATTCGAGATATCAGTAATTATTGATATTACCAGTAATCAGGTTATTTAGTAAGCACTCTATTACTAATGGAGCTGTGGCTCATTGGTTTAAGGAGTTGACTTGCAACCAATGGATTGTAGTTTCAAACGCCACTCCACCTACCAAGGTTTGGGTAACTAGGTAGTGTCACTAGCACTCATACATAGTGGGTGTGTGGCTCATTACCTGCTGGACGAATATGCACGAGGTTGCTGAGTGGATTTCGTTCGCTCTGTCACTAACCGTTTGTAACAATTGAGGTGGTGATTTCGAGTAATATCTGACATTACAACTCAATTGATGGTTGGGTTAGTAAATTGCTTTCGACTACAGAGTAAGATTTCTCAGAATCCAATTATCGTTTTGTACTGTTTCACTAGGTGTTTACCATTTGTTCTCTCTAATTATTGTTATCGTTACTACTATAGAGTTATCTTGGACACTCCTATGAACAGGAAATGGATGCCCAAAGCAGATCATTCAACCTGGACACCTATCGATAAAGTGATACAGTGAGTACAACTCTGTTAAACTACACAGTTTGTAGTATCCCATAATTTTCGTGCATTCATATCTTTTTGTAAAGATGTTTTTGATTGCCTACCCTCATGAAACTACTTATATATCTGTCTATATATCTATCGAAATCGAATTGAACCGAAATCCACTAAGCAAGCGTTGTGTGCATCCGTGAAGCAGGTGATGAGGCAGACCTGTTGTGTGAGGGTTAGTTAATGACACTTACTACTTAGCTGGCTTTGAACTCGTGGCTCATTAGTTGGAATTAGGTGCCTAGATCAGTGATCTACAATTCCATCATGAAGTGAGGCCTGCCTTTTCAAGACTCATTCACATATTGAGTCAATTGTGCGTCATCATCAATATCGAAGGAGGTATTTCTGGTTAACGCTTTATATAAGCGATAAGGTGTGAAAGATAAAGAAATAGAGAAGAATTGATCAAAAGGAGTTGAAGGTAAGAAAGGAAGAGAAGAAGGAATGAGAAAATGCTGAATTCAGTATGACGATTAAGATGAGCAGAATAATGCAGTGGATAAATCTGTGGCATTTAAATCGATTGCGAGCCATATGCACGAATGGTAAAAAGAGTTCAGTACTCCCTCCCTGTCTGTTTGTAGTAATCTCGTAGACAATGTAGATTAGTTGTATTAAAACTTGCAATTTGTCCTAGGAGAACTTTTTGGTGATGTTCAATGAATGAATTCACTTGCATCTGGTTATCATCTGCCTTCTTAACAGATTATTCAGTGATTGGCTGGAAGAAGTTGACAATCGTCCTCAATCTGGAAGTATACTTCAGTTAATCACCAAAGATAATGAAACAGAATGTGTTCCAATTTGATTTTTCGTCAAAGAAGAAGTCGTACTACTTTATTTTTTGAACTATGGAATGTGGTTAATTCTACTTTTCGATTAGTATATTTTTCTAAGTATCTACTCATCTATCTATGTGGTTGATTTATCCCTTCGTCTCACAGTCAACAAATTGAGTTTTGTAACATCTCATGACTGTGTAATAAAATCATGATATTGATCAACTTTTGCTTTTTTATCAAAGAAGAGTACTTGAGGTGGTTTATTTTTAAGGCGAACTCTACCGTGGATGTTGAATTCCATTGTGGACGAAAGAAAGCTTTTGGTAATTACAGAAATGAAATACTTGGTTTTGGTGTAGAATTATATTTGACAAGTCAGAGATCGGTGAGGAGAGTGGTTTTTTTCCTTCAAAAAACAACACTTGACTGCTTATTATTTATCTGTGACAAAAAATGATTCGCGATTCAACAGCCGTCCTGTCATATAGAATGGGTTCCGGAAGATAGTCAGTGCTTGAAGAAACATTTCCTTCAAGAAATGCACTTTTTATACCGAGAGATTTGATTTTCAAGTTGACATTCACACCGACTGAAATCAGTTGGAGAAGCATTGACAACCTTGGAGCAGTAAACCCTTATCGGAGTAGGTGGCTTAAAGATGCTAGGGGAAGCTGGATTAGGTTGGAAGATGGTTCAGGGTGGCCAGATGAAGATGCGTCACCAGTGTTTGAAGTCCCTAAATTGGTGTGAGCCGTGTGATGAGATGTAGACTACCTATCCACGAGAGGATAGGAATCAGTAATTGAAGACCCTCAGTGACAATGGTGCATATGTATTCAACCTTTTGACGTCTTCTAAAGCTTGAATATTCGGACAAATCTTTATCTTCAAATAGTTTATTCTCCCACACAAATTTGTCTACTTTGATATCACTCGTTTTCTATCCACCTGTTCACTGTATACTGGTGTGAAGTATGGTAACTTGAACTGACGTATTTCTGTGCTAGTATCTACGTTGATCTGTCCTACCGTTTTCTAAGCTCACTGTCAATGGTTAGAATACAATTAGATACAACCAAGTTGATAGAGATGTTCTTTGAGAGTTAGAGCAGTTCGAACACAGTGTAATCTGCTTGACGCAAATAGTGTCATCAGGAATTCGCGCGAAAAAATATAAATGAGGAGTTGCAATGTAGTCCAAGTGACTAACAGTTCTCACTAACCCTATTTATGTTGGTCTCATGAGTGAATTGATTCAGCCTAGGAAGCACACTTTCGGAAAACCAATCAGCAGTGTTGAATATTTCATCTAGTAGCGCTCTCATAATGTCACTTGTTGAAACCACTTAACTCGCATCACATCCTTCATCATTACAGATAGACAGTCTGACGTTAAGTGAAGAACGCATTCTGCGTACAAGACGTTATAAGTCATGACATTATTCGTATATCTGAATAACATATTGAGCTGCTCGTTGTACTTATGGATGGTGGTGATACTATTAGTTCTGGCAGTGAGTGATGTGGGCGCTACTACTGACTAGCGTCAGGTCAGTTAGTTTCAGAATGGGATCTGGAATTACTGGATAATGGTGATGGGTGTAAGGCCGTATGTGACGTGGATTTCGTATCTGTCGGCATTTTGTCAAGAGAGTGTGTATGCGGACCTGAGGGATTTTCAGCTACCTCTGTTCACCTGACATCAGTCAGAGTTCGCTGTAATAGTGAGTCGCCTAGATTGGTGATAGAATTCAGACAGCCTGGAATTGGTTACTACTCTGTGATATGGGAAACGTGTATTGGCGGAACTTCTGCAGAAATGATGTTGACCTGACTGTAAATAAGACCAGGCGACCGGATATGATGTGTTGGCCCACGACGATATTGTTATATTACAGGCTCATTTATTCTGTCCTAATATGCTTGAATGAGGTGGGGCAACTTGGATTACGCTACACGGTAATACAAGGTGACATATCGATATTCACTTTGACTGATAGATGCAACGGACAGTGGGTGTTTGCTCTAAATCCATATTGGTGAGTACCGAAAAACCGATTCCCTGTGTGTATATATATATATTCAACAATGGTAGTAATAAACAGTGGTGGAGTGAAACCTATTTGCCTGATGTTCCTGGAGGTTTCGTCACCAGACTAAGAGACCTCAACAGCGTGTAGCTCGTGAAGCATTTTCAAGTTCCATGAATATTTATAGAAGATATTTGCTGACCTAAAGTTTCATTGAGCTTGTTGTTAAGGGTCACCTCGTTTCTTTCACCGGAGTTTGACCTTTATAACTCTTGTTATCATCTGATCTGTGCTGTTGACCTGTGTGATTATTGATTTGGTTCATTGATATCAAGCTGGTTGATTCGTTCTTCGTTGTGTGTAAATATCGGGTGAATGCCCAGGTGTCTGCTGATTGGCATTTTGTCAGAGTGTCATGCTTCGAGGAACTTTGTTACAGTTTTTGGATCTACTTGTTTTAGTATCACTACATTGTGCCCATTCATCTATAAGCATCGATATGGATGAGAATGTAACATGTTGTTTGACTGCTAGTTGAGTATTCGACCACTGAATTCGCCAACATGGTGACATTGATAGTCCTTACAGTGAGTTTTGTAAGCTATAAATTCATATTGTCATTGAGCATTGGGTCTGTTAGCTAATTTCGCCTGAACGAAGTAACCGGTGGACAGTTTCTGAAAGATTTTTGATATGTAGTAATGTGGTTTATTTTGTGGATTGAGATAATTCTCCTGATCTGTGTTCTGTTGATAAGTGTTTTTGACGAGGTTGATTTGATGGATAGTCATTGGCTGTGAACACCGTAGACATGGGATTCTTCTGGACTTCAGTAGTTGTTGAGGGGTGTAGTGAATCTCGGCACATGCGAATAGGGCTTGTACACAACTCTGCTTACAAGATGCTGAGTTGTTACTGTTGTATTTCAAAATTTGATCTGTGCATGTCACCTTTGTGTACACTTTAGTTTATGAGGTTTGGTGATCTTCACTAGTGATAAAGGCGTATATGAACCCGGTTTCCTTACTTTCTTCTCCTTCTGTAAACTGAATACCTTCAGTGTTATGGTTGAGAGAATTGAGGGTGATTCTCAATTCACTTGTTATGTGAATTACAAGTGTCCCAGTTTTTGAAATTCATCATTGGAATGGCTGTTGGTTCGAAACTGTGTATCACTGCTTCGACAATCATTTCGGATATTGTTGAACGTAAGGCAGTTCTTCTGGTTTATCTGTAGATCTTCGTGCTCAACTGAAAGTACTTGTATGTATGTATCGATCATGGAGTATGGATGCGTTCTGGAATGACTTCCCCTCTTTGTGTAAATATCTAGATAGAATTTGTGTGCTAAGTAGGGAGACAGTAATGCAGTGAGCGTTGCCGATCAGAATAGACATCGACATAAGTTAAGTAGTATATGTTGAGAGGGTGGCAGAAATCGTAGGGAATTGCCGGCAACGGGTAAAGATTCTGCCCAGAGAAAGGCAAGAGACAATGTGTGCGTGTTAAGAACAAATGGAGATAGAAAGAGAAGAGGAAATGAAGCACATTGTGTGAATGACTGTCTTAGTGCCAAGTGTACAATATTTGATGACTACTATATGACCACCTCACACTCCCCATATTAGCCATAATCACTATTGAATCATATTGAATGTGGCTGTCATGAGTAGTATGCCGAATTCACGCGTTCCGCACATACAATGACCGCACCGTATTCTTCTTCACTCAGTTTCCACACACTAATGTGCATTAGCTGTGACATTCATTGGTCGATGAACTCATTTTGTCTGTGCATAAACAACAGTGTTAGGGGAACGATGCCTTCATATAACTTGTTCTTTACCGACCCCAACCGAATAGTCCGCAACACGTGAAGATTTCATCGGGACCGCATGTATAGTTGTTTATGCATGATCACTTAGTTTTATTTGCCTTTCCCCTGCCTTCCACTATGTGCTTGTCAACGAACTGTTCCGAGTTAAGCGGAGGAAACGTTTTCGAGCTTTGCCCCATTTATGTGTGTATTTGCCGATCCAATCACTCTCTTGGAAACAGTTATATCAGACATACAACTAGGCAACCTAACCAAAGTATTACTGAACATTAAACTTCGTGAGTCGGAAAGGGACAATTTAGGTCATATGTATCTTCCTATTTTCTCGTTTTATCATGAATGACAACGACAAACTGGTTTTATGTTCTAATTCTATAGCTGTACTACCACCATCACAGCGTCGTAAGTTTCACCGAAATTTTCTCCGGTTATTCAGCATATACGTGGCGGTTCGTTGGATCATAGGCATAGGTTATACTTGTAGGATCACTAGATGATATTCAGGTGTTGAAGATCATTTGGAAATCTGAAAGCTAACATGTTACTGCTTTTTAATAACGTAAAGGTTGAGAAAGTAGTTCTCTGTTGTCACCACTGACTGTTTTCCATTCTCTTATGATTCAGTAAAGGAATTTATTGTTCATATTAGAGCAGAGCTAGACGATGTTCCGGCGGTTTCTTTTCATGCTAAGTGATCTACAAGGCAAAATGTCTTTCTTCAAGATTGAAGATACGTCTTAATGATTGGGGCAAAAAGGCATGAAACTTGGGTCAGAAAGGAAGAATTTCTTATCAATCGACTCCTATCATCCCCAAAGCATCTCTCAACTTAGTGGTCACAGTGCAAACGTGAATGACAGATTTCGACCACTGCTCAGCTCTTAAGACTTGGTGGCTACATCAGTTGCGCTCTGTTAACCGATTCCTGTACACTCTATTGTCTCAGAATTCCCCTCCACGGGGAGATATTTTCCACTAACTTCCGTTAAGTACTGTATTACTGAACAGGATACTAGTTTGTGTCTCATTCACTGTTCACATGTCTTTCGTTTGCGTATCCCAGGTTTGCGCAACAGATGTAGTGGGAGTGCATGTTGACCGATTCGATTGAGCGAATTACAAGTAGTCAAATGATGAATGCATAGGAGTAACAAAGTCCGCAATATGAAAGACCGGCACCAGTCCCCAAGTATGACTAACTTCATAAGGCAGAATGACGGTGTCTCACAAAGTCGATTTCTCAATTAAATGAACCACCTAAATATATGCGGAATATGTGAC